CCCGCCGCGGGCGCGCCTGCGGGCGTTGCAAGTGGTGGCGGGAAGAGCGGCTCGTCGCGCGCGCCGCTTGCTACATATCGAGGCAGATGCGTGTGCTGATGCAAGGGGGAGGACGGCGCAAGGCAAAACAGGGGACGAGTGGGGGGGAGGGCGCGGCGCGCACCTCCGCCGCCGCTGCCGCTGGCGCCCGCGCGGCGCGCCTCGGCCTCAAAGTCGCGGAACGCGTCGACGTAGCCGGGCTCTGCGCCCATGTGCGCGCCAGGGCCGCCCGGGTGGCCACCGAATCTGGTGTGATTGTTTGTGAGTAAGTGTGTGTGTGTGTACGTGCGTGTGCGTGTGTGTGTGTGTGTGTGTGTGTGTGCGTGGGGATGGTTGCATGTGTGTATGCGTGCGTGCTGGTGTGTGAATACGTGCGTGCGTGCCTGTGTGTGATCGCACATGCGTGTGAGTGCTTGCGTATTCAGGGACGAAGAGACCGTCCATTAGCAGGCGCACGCTCGCATGCCACCATGACGCAACTGACAGCTGCAAGCATCTGCCACCACGACCGCCCCGCCCAGCAGAGCCCCATGCCAGCCCACCTGCCGCCCATAGGAACGGGCCCGCCGGCGCCGCCCGCGCCGCCGCCCCCGCGGCCGCCGCCGGCGTGGTGGCCGTGAGGCAGGCCGTGCATGGGCTCATACAGCCGCTCCATTCTGACGGGGTCCGCCGCGCGCACCTGCCCATTGCCGTTGCGTTTCGACAACGCGAATGCGGCGCATGCGGGTCAGCAGGGAACAGCCTGAAAGGAGGTCGAGCCTGGGCCCCGGCTGTGCAGGGCGCAGCTGCCTTCGGCCCATAAATTCAAACCGCTGGCGCCGACAGCTGGTGGAGGGTTGCATGAGGGTCCAAGCGATGCATCATGCGGGGAGCCGCAGAGCCGCACGACGCCGCACTCGGGCCTTCTGCCTGTGCCCTGATTCCCTCAACCAGCCGTCCCGCCTGCTGCGCCCTCCGCACCTCATCTTCGTAATCCCCCGGCCCGACCGCGCCGCCGCCGCCCTGCCCTCCGCCCGCG